GCACACTTACCATACCATACACACGCGCACACTTACCATACCATACACACGCGCACACTTACCTCACCATACACTCGCACACACCACACCATACACACGCACACACTTACCACACCATACACACGCACACACTACACCATACACACCACGCACACACTTACCACACCATAAACACCACGCATACACTTACCTCACCATACACACCACGCACACACACAACTACCACACCATGCACACACCACAAACACACACCCATCCACACATACTTTGCTGATATGTTGAGATTGTTTTCAGTGGATATGCATATTGTATGAATCATTAACTCACTTCTAATTGCGAATAGACATTACTCTCAGAAGAAAAAGTAATCAGGAATAAAAGAAAAAAAAAAGGTGTTGAAAATTATCCGACCGCGCATCATCTCTCTAGGATTAAAAAATGGAATATTGTGCTAGAAAACGGGGCCCACTGACCTCTGTGTTGTTTTCTAGTATTTTAATTTACGATATGACGTCCAGAATATCATGGCGAATTTATACCTTTAATTTATACCTTTAAAGGAAATTTGTCAAACATTTCTCACAGAAAACCATGGAGAAACTGGGGCCTAGTGTCCTCCATATTGAATTTTAGAAAATTTATACAAACTCTTGAAATAATTTAATTTTCTGTTTTGAAGAGGAGAACAAGTGTTAAAATGAAATGAGAGCGTTGAAAAAAAGAATTATATTTATGGTTTGTATTAACAGTATTGTAAACTGCGTCGTATGGCTCTTGCAGAAAGTTATTGATGAATAATTGTATTTTACTTTCAGTAAACAATCTACTCATACGTGCATTATTTAATGTGCCAGTGTACGCATTTCTTATAATGAAGAATTTGTGCATCGTGACCACTGTATCATACTTTTTTTATTCAATTTCATATAGAGTAGTGGTTTTGTTAATTATTATTTGATCGGCTGTCTTCTTTGAATTTAGCGTGATCCGTTTATGTACATTTATAGTAATATCTAAACTGAAGAGAAACTGCTCTATCTCGCAAGATTCGACGAGAAAATCAATGTTAAAATCTCCGCATACAACAACGGATTCAAAAGAGCGATTACTGACTTTGTTTAGTGTTGAATTCAGTTTTTTTAAGAATTTAATATAATAGCACACACATACCAAGCAGTAGCTCCCTGTTTTGGACGCATATCAGACGAATCACTCATACCATAGAGGGTAAACGTCATCACAAAAGCACAACCCTCTTTTTTGCTTTGCGCAGCCGGGTAAAAACAATAAAAGTTGAACAATTGATTTACCTTTCCAAATTCTGTGATGCCATTTGGTTTTGGATTCTCCTCCGCAGACGAGTCAGCCCTGAAGGAAAAAAGGATTGTAATAATGATTGTCGCTTTTCTATATTTACATATATAATATCCTCTATATGTAGTTGGGTGAAAACCAGAACGGTGAATGTGCTTTTATATGCTCTGAGAAAAATGTGTTCATTTTACGCCATATTCCTGTGCCAATGTGTCATTTGGTGATGAATGTCGTGATGATTTCGTCATTTAGTGTTGATTTGATGTGTCGTGTTGATTTGTCGTGATAAAACAAAGCACCACGACTTTTCTATGATATTGAATTGAAACAGTTTTTTCTTGTACAGTTCTGTTTTTCACCCATTCATATAAGGGAAGATAACGGTTTTGCAACATTAGTTCCGTTTCTTTAGTCCCTGTGCATTAATAAATTCAGACTGAAATTCCTTGGAACCACAGTTCACATTTTTGCAAGTGACGAAAGTTTCGGTCTGAAGTTTTCAAATTGAAAGCGAGATATCTCTATGCAATAATATTTCGTTAATTTCATACTTTTTCAGAAAGATGGTTTTCTGGATGAAAGTGAGCACTACTTTTAACAGCAAAAGTTCTCAATTTTTCGAGTTTGTCTGGATGCTGGGATCAAGAAGATGAACTGACATTTAATTATCTATTTATCTATCTATCTATCAATTTATTTATTTGTCAATTTATTTATTTGTCAATTTATTTATTTGTCAATTTATTTATTTGTCAATTTATTTATTTATCAATTTATTTATTTATCAATTTATTTATTTGTCTATTTATTTATTTGTCTATTTATTTATTTATCTATCTATTTATCTATCTATTTGTTTATTTATCTATTTATTTATTTATCTATATATTTATTTATTTAACTATTTAATAATTTTTCTATTTATTTATATTTTTTTTCGTCAATAACAGTTAAAAACTGTGTGTGACGTACTATGGGGAGAAGTTAATTTGAAGTTACATTTATGTCCAAAAGCAAAACAGAGGGCCATCTCAGCATTTGCTCGAAGATCAGGGAAAGTGGACGAAAACTTGATCGAGATGGGGGTCATTGACCCAGAAGCTGAAGTATAATACTTATTACAGGTTCTTTACAATTATACTATACAAATGAATCCAATCGAATTTAATCATTTAATGTCATCTGGCAAGGTGTTGTAAAATAATGTACATGTTTTATATGTGAATTTTTGAAAGACCTAAAAATTTTGTTACCCAAACATCAGTCAATGGCTCGCCGTTCATTTTCAGTGATGTGTCGCGCTGTTTATTTGAAATGGAAAACTGCATTGAAACAGTTTTCTTTTCATTTACTATTAATTTGTTACCATTACGAAACCTCTGATATCTGATATAGTACTATTTACGGTTTCTTTATTGCAAAGAATATTCGTATCGTCAGCAAAGAGAATTACTCTTTCGTTACTAATCGTCACACACACACACGTACACAAAATTCCTTAATACATTTTTATTTTCATTTTTAAAACTGCATTTGGACACAAAAGTCATTACGACACGTTTGATACTTGTAATCAATTGAGTATTTCTTATGATTCTGTTTAAAAGAAAAAGAGAATTGCAATTCAAATTCAATGTTGCTCTTCTAACTCGTTACTTCAGAAACGAACTTACCATGGGGTTGAACAGGAGTGAGTTAATGTCAAATAACGCACACCCAATTCGTACATTAACCTGAGGACTGGCAGACTGCTGTCAATAGAATGGCCACCCTCCACCGCAATGAGACTCGCTATCTTCTTCTGCTTGAACGCATCTTGAATGCCTAAACATTAAACATTCGTGCAAGTACAAAGAATCATCAGATGTCAAAATTTACACGTGAAATGGAATTTTTACCTTTTACAGAATCTGCAAACTGAAGATCACGAGGGTACTTCTTGATGAGTCTTTTAATTACATCTATTTGCTCCAGCGTGTTCGAAACAGCATCTTTGTACTGAGTTTTGCAATCCACGTAAGCCACCCAAAACTGAAAAGAAAACCAGTCCTCCGTAAGCAAAGAGCAACCCAAAGAAGGATTGAGCGAAAAATGGAAATTTGTAAGGATTAACGTGACAGACATCAAAAGAATAAATAAACTCGAATGATAGTGTACAAAATATATCGGCGACATCGTTTCTTCTATTAAATTGGCATCGGAATGGAATTCTGATATATATTTTGTTACAATTTTAAAATAATTTCGTTTCGGAAAATGTTTAACCTTGCAATATGGGTAGCCCTGATGGCCAGGCTGGAGCACCCTAATATCCTCAATTCGAGTTAAAGCAACTGGGAGACGGCTCAATAGACCCGGATTCGACTCCCGTCGGAGAGGAACGTGCAAAAACCCCAGGGAGAGAACAACCGACTAATTGATGAAGGAAACTAAGACGTCACTTACGCAGCACAATATATTCTCACAATGTGCTATAGATGTATACCGGTCTGTGTATATTTATATATTGGGTGTATATGCTCGAAAGGATTGTTTTGTAAATTGTTTTTATATTGAACATTTTTTTGGAATGTAAATGTACATATATTGTAAAACTGGATGTTAATGGGTACCACCTGGCAATCAGCCAATTGTAGCCAAATAAATAAATTTTATTATTATATTATATAATGCTCTCAGGAAAGATCTCAATCCCAATTTGCTTAATCGAAACATTTTGAAGAGTGAAAATCATCAACGAGGCACTCAGATATGACACCCTAAAGAATTAATTAATATTAAGTATAACTAAACGATTACTTTTCCAGCACATATCAAAATTATTTACATTTTTTTAAATTAAAAAACTAAAAAAAATTACATATTAAAAATTATTTTTTAAAACTCAGGCGCAGGCGCGCGCACACACAAACACACACGCGCGCGCGCGCACATACACACACGCGCGCGCGCGCACATACACACACGCGCGCGCGCGC